AGGGAATTAGTTAGATATACTTAGAAGGGAAAATCAAAAGTAAACTTACAGCTAAACTCAAGCATGACTTGTTTTTGGGGCAGGGGTGCGAGGTTGTAAGAGAAGCCATGGAAACAACACATGAGCTTTGTTATCTCAAATGCATTGTTATGAATTAAATTGTGTCCTCAAAAAATGTATTAGAATCTTAACCCCTACACTGTGGAAGGAAGATCGGGCAATCTCCTTTCGTAGTGATACCACCTTGGAAACCCAAGGAGAGGTCGCTATGAGTCGGATCCCACTGGATGGCAGTGAGTTTTTTTTTTTTTTTTTAAATACCTGTGGATGTGATCCTGTTTGGAAATAGGGTTTTCTTAGTTATATTAATTAGATCATATCCGAGTAGAGTGAGCTCTATAGCTAATCACTTCTGAGTTCTAAAAAGAGCAGCTAGACACAGGGATACAAACACCTGGGGAAAGACAGACACCATGTGAGGATCGTCTACAAGCCAAGGAACCAGGAAATGCCCAGAACTCCCTACAAGACATGGTCGAAACCCTGACTTGGAGTTTCAGCTTCTGTTGCTGTTGTTGTTATGTGCCTTCGAGTCAGACCCGACTCATAGTGACCACTCCTTGGGGTTCTGAGGCATATCACTATGGAAGTAGATTGCCCCATCTTCCTTCCGAGGAGTGGCTGGTGGGTTTGAACCGCCAGCCTTCTGCTTAGTAGTCAAGTGCCTTAGGCCTGAGAAAATAAACTTCTGTTCTTTACAGTAAATAAGGGAACTCAAGGGGTGTAGTGCATAAGGCATTTGACTGCTAACTGGAAGGCTGGCGGTTCAAACCCACCAGCCACTCCTTGGAAGGAAGGTTGGGCAATCTACTTCCATAGAGATACCGCATTGGAAACCCAAGGAGGGGTCGCGATGAGTCGGAACTGACTACAATAAATAAATTAATAAATTAAATAAATAAGTAAATTAAAGAAATAAAAACAAACAAAACAAACAGTGCCTGGGACAGAGGCCATCCTCAATAAATACATGTGGAATGAATGACTATCTGGAACGAGGCCCAGCTGGTTGCAAAAGGGCAGATTCATAGTCAGTCATATCCAAGGTAGCTGTTGTTGTTATATGCCATCGAGTCGGCCCTGACTCATAGCGACCCCTCCTTGGGTTTCCAAGGTGATATCACTACGGAAGTAGGATTGCCCAACCTTCCTTCCGAGGAATGGCTGGTGGGTTTGAACCGCCAAGGTAGCAGAGGGCTCCACTGTCAAAGAAGTTTAGCTCTGGCCATCCCCTGCTATGAGCAAGGATCTCTATCTGATGGAATGGGGGTTGGGGGCAGAACTCAGTTTGAACAGTACCTAGGGCTCTGGTATCAGAGTTTCATTTTGAGGATAAAAGAAATTCCTTGCCCCCATTCCCCACCACTCCCCTGTTGTCCCACATCTCTAGTTACACAGGGACTGTGGTACATCCTCTCCTTGGATTGGAAAGGACTTAGGTCATGCACAAAGGGAAATTGCTGCCTCCTCAAAATTCAACATCTGCATCTCAAGTGATTTAGGAAACCCTTTTTCAATTGGCAGCATAGCTGAAAAGATGACAGAACTTGATAGAAAAACATAGATGGGGTGGGAAAAGCTGGGGCACACTACTCCATAATTTCTTTAGAATGTTGTTATTGTTATGTGCCATCGAGTCGGACCCGACTCATAGCGACCCCTCCTTGGGTTTCCGAGGCAGTATCACTATGGAAGTAGATTGCCCCATCTTCCTTCCGAGGAGTGGCTGGTGGATCTGAACCGCCAGCCTTCTGGTTAGCATCAAATGCCTTAGCCACTATGCTACCAGAGCTCCCAATTTCTTTAGAATAGTGTTTCCTAAAGCGTGTTTAAGAGCTCTGGTAGCGTAGTGCCTAAGGCATTTGATGCTAACCAGAAGGCTGGTGGTTCAAACCCACTAGCCACTCCTCGGAAGGAAGATTGAGCAATCTACTTCCATAGTGATCCGACTTGATGGCAGTGTGTTTGTTTTGGTTTCTGGAAAGTGTGTTTAGTGGAATATTGGTATAACTTGAAAAGGTATCACTTGGGGGATAAAAAAGGCAATTAAACTCAGGAAACATCAGATTAAATAAAGTTAAACAGGTTTTTTTCCTACAGGACTTTTCAGACCCTTTAATATACTAGTGTATTTTATCAGGAGCCCCTGGGTGGTACACAGGAATACTGTGCTCAGCTGCTAACAAAAAGGTTGGAGATTTGAGTTCACCCAGAGGTGTCTCGGAAGAAAGTTCTGGCAATCTACTTCTGAAAAATCAGCCATTGAAAACCCTGTGAAGCCCAGCTCTACTCTGACACATGGAGTCTCCATGAGTCAGAGTTGATTCCACAGCTACTGGTTTGTTGGTGCGTTATGAAACTCTACTAGCAAAATATAATATGCAGTTATTGTTGTTATGTGCCGTCAAGTCGGACTCGACTCATAGCGACCCCTCCTTGGGTTGCCGAGGCAGTATTACTACAGAAGTAGATTGCCCCATCTTCCTTCCGAGGAGTGGCTGGTGGGTTTGAACCGCCAGCCTTCTGGTTAGCAGTCAAGTGTCTTAGGCACTGTGCTACCAGAGCTCCTAATATGCAGTTAGTCCTAAACTAATACAGCCATGGAGTTTTTTGTGGGGAGTGTAGCATATTTTTAACAGTGTGTTTCTTGGAAAATACTGCTTTAGAAGTCTGCTGTCTTCCTGACTCTTGGAGGTGAGGTTCTAAGGTATCATTTTGTGAATCCTGAGATTTTCGTCATCTGCCTACAGGCAGGACCCTCTGCTGCTGCCCCTTGTGGAGCTCTCTAGGTGTGATTGGTGGGGTTAGGCTCTTTGGAAGCAAAGTCCCATCAGAGCTGCTCAGCGGCTCATTTTATCTCTGTAACTGCCCCATCCCCATCTCCAGCCTGGCCATAGGTTTCCAGAGTTCAGCACAGCCTCTCCAACCTTTGTGAATGTGAACAAGCAACTCCCTAGTCTTGTGGGACTTCTTGGTCAATTGGCATAACATATCTCATAAAGTTATGTTCTTTATCCTAGTTTGGTGAGTAGCATTTAGGGTCTTAAAAGCTTATAAGCAGCTGTCTAAAATACTTGTCCAGAACAAAGAAAAAGAAGGAAACCAAAGATTCAAAGAAGAAACTAGTTTATAAGACAACTAGTCTAGGCAAACCATGGCCTCATCTACCTTGAGGCCAGAAGAACTAGACGGTGCCCACTACAACTACCTACTATTCTAATCAGGGCCACAATAGATGTACACTAATAGAATGGGAGAAAAATGTGGGACAGATCCTCAAATTCATAAAAAAACCCAAAAAAACCCAGACTGGTTGATAATGGAGGACTCCTTGAGACTATTGCCCTGAGAGTCTTCAAACATTGAACTGAAATAACCCCTGAGGTCACCTTGTAGCTAAACAAATTGGCTCAGAAAATAATGAATATCATCTGTAAGTACTATCTTCCTTTAAAAAATCACCTATATGAGACCAAATGGTCAACAATTACTTTAAAACAAAATGAGAGAAACTAGAGTACTGGAAACAGAACCACCAGTGTGGAAATAATGAGAATGTTCATCCATTGTGATGAATGCAACCAATGTCACTGAACAACTTGTGCAGAAATTTTTGAAAGAAAACTTAAACTCTTACATAAACTTCATAAAAAACACAATAAAATAGTATTAAAAAAAATTAAAGGAACTCCCCCTCCTTCTTCTGAGCCCAAGAAATCTCAACAAAGTGCCCAGTGTCTGAAAGTAACAAGAAAGCCTCCCTCTCACTGATTTGGGGAGATTAGATGCTCCTGAATTTCTTTTTGTCCCAGGGAAATAATGCTGAACCCTGAGACCTAAAGGGCAGGCGCCCCTTGGGACACCAGCTGTCCTCTCAGAACTTCCTTTCCTTTCCTTTCACCTGAGGGAAGGGAAAGGGTGGACATGTGAGGACTGGGAGGGGCAGTGGTGACACTCGCTTAGACAATGAGAAATCTCTGAGCCTAGGATGAAACTAAACCACACTCACTGCCATCGAGTTGATTCCTATTCACAGTGACCTCCACTGGGTTTCCTAGGCAGTAAATCTTTATGGAAGTAGATTGCCCTATCTTTCTTCTGCAGAGTAGCTGTGGCTTTGAACTGCCAATCTTCTGATTAACAGTCAAATGCCTTAGGAACTGCACCACCAGAGTTCCTTTGAGCCTAGGATATAAACAAAGAAAAAAACCAAACTCACTGCCATCGAGTTGTTTCCAACCCATAGTGACTCCCACTGGCCTTCTGAGGATATAAATCTTTACAGAAGTAGGCTGCCCAGTCTTCTTTCCCCAAAGCAGCTGATGGTTTGAAACGCTGACCTTCCAGTTAGCAAGCAAGTACTCCCTTATCCACTACACCACCAGAGCCTAGGATAACGCAACACAACACACTGCCATGGAGTTGAATCTGACTCAGCCACCCCTCTTTTGAATTTCCAAGGCTGTATCACTACAGAAGTAGATTGCCCGATTGCCCAACCTTCCTTCCGCGGAGTGGCTGGTGGGTTTGAACTGCCAGCCTTCTGCTTAGCAGTCAAATGCCTTAGGCACTAGGCTACCAGAGCTCCTAGAGTTCAGAACAAAGATGGTAAAAACAAAGGCCTTGCAGGGAGGTGGAGGGCTGGGCAAGAGAGGATCAAATTTAGGACTCTCCCCTGCTATAGGGGAAAATTGTCAGCAGAGGGCAGTATAGAGCTTCGCCAAGTCTTCCATGTCTCTGTCTTAGAGGCTAGAGCTAGACACACAAGGTAAGTTTGCCAAACTTGAATTCTCCCTCCTCTTACAGGTAAGCTGGGAAGTCCTTTCCTGTACAGTCAGTTCAACAAGGGGCACACAGAGATCTCCAAATTTTTTCTAGTCTCACTAGAGCAAGGATCACTGCAGCAACCCCAGAAAAAGAGAATGAAGGACTAGATTTATGGTAGGTAATAAGATTTACTGAAAACTTCTCAGCCACATTCAGTACTGGTTTGGTGGATACATCAGAAGGAGGTTGCATAACATTAGGAAGGTGGAGGGGCTGGGAGGAGGATATGTGGGTGTACAGGTGAGCCTGTGTTGGGAGGGATGCCTGTCCAAAGTGGTAAGTGGGAGGGCTTGTGTGTGTGTGTTTAAACAAGAAAAATTAACTAGAAGAGGAAATGTGTTTTATCCCACTGCACATTGCAAAAGTCTCACGCCAAAAAAGCCAGACTTTCTTCTACCTATGGCATCAAAAGGGAGTAAAAAATGATTGGATCACCCAGATTATAAATAAGGTTATTTGTTTCTCAAAAATCCCTATTAAAACATTAAATATCAGCTCTTTTGGGGAGAAATACATTCATTTCAGGGAAACCTCAGGAGAGCCACCATCCTTTTTCTCCATACAACCTGGTGAGTGAGGGGAAGCCCCAGAGGGCCCTGAGGGTCCCCTCAAGCTGCGCTAGGTAGCTACACATATCCCACCACTGAAGGAGGTGGCCAATGCACAATTTACAAATGAAATGGCAAGTCTATTAAATTAAATCCAATGGAAAACACATGTGATCAGTCCTGTCATTCACAGCCATAGGGGTGAAAGGGGCTGGGGGGATGAGCGGGTGAAGGGAAGGAAGTGCCAACCATGGGGCTAGAAATTAGGGGGGACATGTGTTAGGGCAGATGGATGGAAAGCCTCCTTCTCATGGGAGCCCCAGTTCCTCTGGTCATGTGAACAATGGTGATATAGAATAGCAAGGCAGGGTAGGCTGGTGGCACCACCACAGGCTCTTGGTGCCATTTCTCTGGGCCCTCCCCAACACATGGGATATGACTGGAAGAGGGATGTAGCACCTTCTCCAACCCCTGGCTTCCCATTGGGCTGGATACTTCTTTCCAATGTTTTTTCTGCCTTCTCTGAAGGATAGAATGAAGAAGCGAGGCTGCAGGCTGATGGAATCAGCCTGGGAGCAGAGAGACAGCCATGGCAGACCTTAGGGGTAGAAAGATGTCAAGCCAACCTGGCATCACCCTCTCTGAAGATCATTGGAGGGGTGGAGCAGCTGAGGAGCTCTGTCTGAGGGCTGGGACACCAGGGGTAAGACATCATTGTCCTGTTGTTATAGGAGGTGAATTCTGTGACTGCCTAGGGTCACTTTGATATGGCTCCCAACCCAAGTTTTGCCATCTCCTCGGGTCCTGGAACCAACCCAAGTAAAGGGATTCCTCTTAGCCTCCTACAGCCTGAACTCACTAGCTTACACCTGGTTTCCAGGAGAGAGAGCAGGAGGCCCTGTTGGTTCTCATCCCTCTCTTCCAAGTCCATGGTTGCCTGTACCCCAAAAGAGAGGCCTTGGAGGAATCAGCTGGAGCCTGTGGAATCCAGGTCCCACTCTGATCTGTAAGAGGTGATGCCTTCAAGCCATCCCCCTCCTCCAGCCATTGATTTTGCTTTGGGGCTCCCTCCTGCCCTTGAATGTCTCTCCAAGGAGCTAAAAATCTTCTGGGGGTGGGACCTAGGTCCCCTTTGTCTCCTCCTTTCTTTTAAGCTCTGCCCTTAGCAAGAGCTCACTCTGCAAACAGCACCAATCCACCTCACAGTGCAGGGCTTGTAAACAACTCAAGTCCTTCAGTGGGGGTGCCCTCTGTCCTCAGGGATTGGGTGAGTCCAGATCTCACTCCTGTCTTTCCATACAGGCTGCTTGACTGGCCCTGCCAAATGGAGTCCTCAGCAGTTCTAGGGAAGTAGGGCTGGGGTACTCATTGAAGCTTGGTAGTTGGGAAAGAGCAGGGTATCTCCTCTGCATTTCCTCAAGCTGCTGATTATGGGAGGCTAGGGCCCAACTTCCTCCAGTGCTGCCTGCCCATATCCCCCTCCCTCCCACCCTGAAGCCCTCCTGACGACACTCTTCTCCTGCTCGGTGATCAGTGCCATCTGGGCTTCCTGACTACTCCAGGGAGTCACTGTGTTCCAAGCCCAGGTCGCTGACATTCGTTGTCTGCAGCTCATCTGCCTCCTCCTCCAGCTCTTCTTCCTCTTCTTCCTCCATCTCATCCTCATCCTCTTCTTCCGTCCCATCCAATGAGTCATCATGTGCAGCCATCATAGCCTGCTGCATGGCCATGGTGGCATTGTCTGAGGACAGGGACTGTAGGTTGTCCAAGTTGATAGAACCTACATGAGAGAAGAGATAAAAGGTCAGGATGGAAGGAGCCCAATCAGGCTCAAGAACCTCAATGTTGTACTGAGTTGGAATGGAATGGTTGAAGCGATAGTGAGTTGTTTGTTTCTAAGGGTGCCTAAGCCTAAGCCTCGGAAGGAAGGTTGGGCAATCCTACTTCCGTAGTGATACTGCCTCGGAAACCCAAGGAGGGGTCGCTATGAGTCGGGTTTGACTCGACGGCACATAACAACAACAACAACAAGCCTAAGCTGTTACGAAGTCTCCCATCCATTCATTCACTGCCCCTCTCTGCCCTGTCCCAAGCAGTAGCAATCCTAGCTACTATTTGCCAAACATCTTCTATATAAATATGGTAAACACTTCCGACTTTCTAAGACTCTTCTAAGGCAGCTATTATTGTCCTCATCATAAAAGAGGAGGACACAAGTCTCTGAAATAACAGAATTGGGATTATCTCTTAAATTTGTCTAGTCCCAAATCTGTTTATTTCCATTTCACCTTGTAAGATGAATGTCCATCACACAGAACTGTACACAACCACAGAAATACATGTATGCGTGAAGGTATGCATGCACACGTGCACACCCCCACCCACTTCCCACACAGAGCTATCTTCACACGCCAAGCTATAAAATGTCTGGCTTATTGAATTATTCATTGTGCACCAGGCGATCGGCAATTAGAAAAGTATATATGGAGGGTGTGATATAGAAGCTGGGAAAACAAAGCTCTCTCTGGCCTCCGTTCACAAGCCAGCTGCCTGCCTCGGTATTTATAGATGGCCTTGGCTCTTGAAGAGCTGTTCAGACACTCAAAGGTGATAAGGAACTTGGGCAAGTGTGGGAGTGAGGAGGGGGTCTGCTGAGTAGTTATTGACTCAGATGACCACCTACTCCTACCCATCTTGTGAGATTGCTTTTGGCTTGTTGAAATATGTACAAAAACATCCCCTTTATAAGGCATATGAACATCCTTCAATGGAAATCAGATAGGGATAATTATCATAACAGAGCTGGGGCTGGGACTCAAGTGAATAGACATTCAACCCTTGAATCTTTGCACAAAGTACCCTGAGGGAATGCCAGAAGGCCCTCCACCTGACCCAGTCTAGAGTACACGTGACTCCAGTTCTTACCATCGGGGTTTGTTCCTGGGGCACCACCCTGCTGCTGCAGCACCCCTGCAGCAATGGAGTTGGGCCAGAATCTTTGGGTGGGTCGGTGCTGCGACTTGATCTTCTTGGCTTTTGGGGCAGGATCTGGGTTGCTGGCATCAAGCATGGGCTGCAGGATACGTCTCCGGGCATTGATGAACCTGTCCAGGGTTAAAGGTGGAGACCTAATTAGTCACCAATTGGGTGGTGATGGTGGGGCAGAGGATAAAGGGAATGGGAAGGTAGAGGATGCGGGCAGAGAGGGCTAAGCTGTTTTCAGACTCTCAGAAACCAATTTATTAATCAATTATACAGACCAGTCTCAGGTTCAGATCTAGGGTGTAAAAGGCCAGCAGGAAAATGAATCCTGGGCAGTAGGCACTCATGAAATCAGCTAGAGCTTGGTGACTTCTAAGTAGCAAAGAAATGATGCATGGAGAGGTGTCAGAAATCTTCTCCGCTCCAGATCCACCAGGATTGAACAGAGGTGGGAAGAGCCTTAGCCACAGGTACCAACCTCTGACATCTCTCCAGGGGGCCAAGGGCTCACATTAGGGGCCCCCACTCTTGGATCCACTCTCATCCAGTCAGACTGGGTTCTCTGAGCTTCCTCTCAATGACAGCCTAGTTGGATACAGGGAATGGGACAGCTGAGATCTCTGTGGGGTTAGAAGGGCTGATTCTTCCTCTTCCTTCCCACTCCAGCTTTGTAGAATTGGAGTTCAGCCCACATTGGGGTGAAGGTGGACAAGAATGACCATCGGCGGCCTCTCCAGTCCAGTGATGCAGGCAATCTTGTCTGTTCCTGCAGTGCTGGTGGATCTGGGTTTTCTGTGTAGCAAGCTGGTTCCAGTGATGTTTCTGACACAGTTCCCCAGCAGAGGGCACTGAGAAGCTGCAGATGGAGCTACAGGTACCTATGTGGTTCCGGCTTTTTCTTCTAGCCCAAATGGGAGGACTGGTGTGGTAGTTGGGCTGGGACTGAGGCAGGACTGGGCAACCTAGTCTCTTCTCCCTGCTATGCCATTCTTCTTCCAAGCGAGTGATCCCTGGGTCTGAAAGCATTTGGACGAGTGATGGTAACTTACCAGTTATTTACTTGCAGGAGGGTGAGGTTTGTCTGGGCTGCAATCTGCCTCTTCTCATCCTCCGTGGGGTAGGGGTGCTGAAATGAGAGGTGAAGGGCTAATGAGGGGTAGACACACCATCATGGAAACAGGTAGCTAGAATGGTGTGAAAGCCAAAATTGAGGAAAGTTTGTCCCCCAAAGAGAATGTACCTAGGGCTTGGAGGGAGGTTGCCCCATGCCTTGTGACACCACACCCAGGGTCATCTGATCTTACTAGCCCATCTACAATAGGGGCAGAGGACCAAGGTGGTTCCTCAAGAATGAGTACAGTTTGATATTTATGGCTTCCAGGGTACTTTTACATTCTTCTCACTTGGTCTTCACAGCTGTCTCACTAGCAGGCAGCATTATTAGTGTTAAGATTTGCTATGGCCTCAAAAATCCACAGGGCTATTAAAATTGAGGTAAAAGGAGTGTACAAATCAAATTAAGTTACCTGATATTTATTAAATACCTACTACATTCCCAGATTTATGTTGCAAAGGGTCATTATGAGTCGGGATCGACTCGACAGCAATGAGTTTTTTTTTTAGTTTTCACATACATTACTAGGAGACAGAAGATAAAATGCTAACTGCTACTTGTATAGTACTTTATAACCTGTAAAATGTTTTCATGTACTTACTTTCATTTAGGAGCTCTGGTAGTGTAGTGCCTAAAGCATTTGATTGCTAACCAGAAGGCTGGTTGTTCAAACCCACCAGCCACTCCTCAAAAGGAAGGTTGGGCAATCTACTTCCACAGTGATATAAAGCATATCACTGAAACTATATCCAATAGGCCGGTAGGAATAACAATATTTCCATTTTAGAGATGAAGAAAATGGATGACTAATCCAATGTCACTCCGATGGCAGCACTTAGATTGGAACTCATTTCTTTTGATCTTGGCCAGTCTTTCCTCCCATTACTTAATGGGAGGCAGACTAAGTCTAAGTCAGTGCCTTTGTGGAGATGAGTGATTAAACGGTGAAAGAGTCTGCCCTACTTCCCAGTACACTTCAGACCAAGTGTTGATTACATGTTAGTCTCCCTCTTTCAGGCTGTCCATCATGAGAGTAGAGATCACATCCTATTACTTTCTATATCCCTGATGCCTTCCACATAGAAGGCATGCAAATAACTGCTTTGTGACAGAGAGCATAAATAAAGCAATAGACATTGTGGTAGGGGGTAATAAGCACTTTAGAAGTTAGGAGATGGAGAGATTGTTGTTGGCCTGGGTGGTGGGAGGGCTAAACAGGTCACATTAAAGGATGGACAAGTTTTGGATGGCAGTGGGAAGAGACTTTTGCAGATAAGAATCAGAATGTAAGGAGTAATCAAATCCCCACTTTCTTGCTTCTCATTGTCTCTGACACCAGCCACACATGTGGCACTTTCTCTCTCTACTCCAGCCACTCAGAGCTAGGGCAGATCTCACAACTTTTAAAAGGACCCCATCCTTAGACTGCTAAACAGATGCCATTTGCATGTTTAGGGAGTCCACATCTCAAACTCTGACCTGCTGGCCACAGATTTGAGGTTTCAGGATGGATGCCAGCCACAAGCTCAGGGGACTCCCCTGGGTTCTCACACTTTCACCTACTGGCTCCCACTACTACTTTGGGTTTGATAATTCATTGGGATGACTCGAGAACTCACAGAAAGTGCTATACTTATGATTATAGGTTTATTATAGCAAAAGTTTATAAATTAGGATTGTTATAAGGAAGAGATGCATGGGCAAGGTCTGGGAGTGTTCCCAACGTGGAGTTTCCACATCCCAGAGAGTGCATCATTCTCTCTGTGCCAACCAGGAAGCTTTCTGAGCCTCCATGGTCAGGGTTTTTATCAATCAGTCAAGACTGAACCTCATTGCATATGTATGACAGGCTAAATCATGCCTCCTGAGGTTAGTTGACATTGGCCCATCAGGAGAGTCTTTTCTGGTCTGGCCAGCCCACACTTGTTAGCACAAATTCTCAGGTGGGGTCTGGAGATTTCAGAGGAAGACACCTCAATTACTCCCAAGGTTACATCACAGGAATCAAGGCCAAAGGCCAAAATTGTTTTCTATTACCACACATGAGTCCTCATCACACGGTGGTGAGCCACATGACAACAGAGCCTACTTCTCCTTTTTTATATAATCGATTTTATTTATTTTTGATATTGTTTCTACATGTGCATTTCAATGACACTGATTACATTCTTGTAGTTGTGCAACCATTCTTATCCTCCTTTTCTGAGTTGTTCCTCTCCCATTAAAATAAACTCACAACTGCCCCTATCTAATCTTTTGAGTTGCTGTTGTTAATTTGATCTCAGAGATAGACCTTAACCAAGCATATTGCTCAAGGCAGACTTTTTACTAGTTAAGCTAAACTATTGTTTGGTTTTAAGATGACTTCAGGGGAATATTTTTGGTTTAATGTTTAAAGATTATCTTAGGGCAATAGTTTCCGGGGTTCACCCTGTTTTCATGGCTCTAGAAAGTCTGGATTCCATGAGAGTTTAAAATTCTGTTCTGTATTTGCTCCCTTTTTATCAAGATTCTTCTATAGAATCTTTGATCAAAATGTTCAGTAATGGTAGCAGGCACCATCCAATTCTTCTGGTCTCATGGCAAAAGAAGCAGTTGTTCATGGAGGCAATTAGCCACACATCCATTTTCTCCTCATATTCTTGACTCTCCTTCCTCTAAGAGACCAGATGTTGTGTCTTGGATGGCTGCTTGCAAGTTTTTTTTTTTTTTTTTTTTTTTGTGCGTGTGTGTGTGTGTGTGTGTGTGATTTGGATGAAAGTTTACAGAGCAAATTCATTTTCTATACAGCAGTTCATATATACTTTGTCTCATGACTTTGACTGTAATTTCCCACAATGCAACGGCTTTCTTCCCACTTCTTCCCCATAGTTATCTTTTCCCTGTGTCCTTCCCTCCCATGCACTCCTGTTCCACAAGCTGTCTCCTTGTGCATACACAGCCCTTCTATTCTCCCATGATTGAGCTCTCCAAGGGGTGTATTTACCCAACGTAAATGTTCAGCTCATATGCCTGCCTTTTGTTTGTCTGGAAGCCACAGGAGTGGGTTCAATTTCAGACCTGAAGGGCAGCTAGGGGCTATAGTCTCAGGGATTCCATCAGTCTCCATCAGACCAGCAAACCTGGTCCATTTTATTTATTTATTTTATTATTTTGAGTTTTGTTCCACATTGTTCTCCCTCTCTATCCAGGATCTCCTACACAGATCTCCCTCCAATTGGTTGACAGTGGTAGGTGGGCATCATCTAGTTCTTCTGGTCTGGTAGTCATAAAGGCTGAGGTTTGCATGGTGTACCAGTCCTTTGGATTAATTGTTTCCACGCATCTTTGATTTTCTTCATTCTTCTTTGCTCTGGATGAGGAGAGACCCATCGTTGTGTCTAGATGGCCGCTTGCAAGCTTTCAAGATCCCAGTCTCTACTCATCAAAATAGATGTGGAACAATGTTTTTGTTTAGTATGTTATGCCAATTGAGCTTAATGTTTCCTGCGGGCATGGTCCCGAGCCCACAGGTCCAACTATTTGCTCCCTCTGGGTAGCTGGCTGTGGCCAAGAAGTGACTACAACCTTGTCCCTTGTCAGCTTTACTATATACCTGGACATTCTTACAGAACATACAAATACACTTGTAGAAACATTGTCTGCCAACCCTATACATGGTTATGGGCACACTTCCTTCTGCATAGACATACCTGATCTGTCAGCTTGTCCACCCATCTGTCCACCTGTAGATTTATGTTTGTCATCACTGACAATGCAGTACTGTATGTGTAAAAGGGTTCGTCTTTGTTGTCTGTACCTCCCATGCACCTCTCTATGTCTTCTTTTTCATCAATGCCACTGTGTTCATCACTCACATTTGGTACATTGCCCTTCCTTTCACCCAAATCCATACTTGTCTCTACCTGTTTAGCAATGTTCCTTCCCTTCCCCTCCCACCCCCGGTAACCAGCAAAGAAAATTGCCTTCCATATATAAACCTTTCCTTGAGTTTTTACAATAAAGGACAAATACAATATTTGTCCTTCTGTGATTGACTTATTTCACGCAGCATAACGTCCTCCAAGTTCACCTACATTATGTGGTGTTTTGCTTGCAAGTTTTTATGACCTCAGGTACTATGGAACAAACTAGGAGGTACAACAAAAGAACTCAACATGTTATTAGCCAAATTAACTGGGATGTCCCATGAAACCATGACTGTACACCTTCAAACCAAAGAACCAAATCCTTAGTTTGGATGTATACAAGCAGCCTCAGTAGTTATTCTTTCCTTTTTTTTTTTTTTTTGTCATTATTGTAAATATATCTATCACACAACTTTTGCCAACTCAACTTTTTACAGGTATACAGCTTACTGACAGCAATTACAATAATCAGCTGTGCAACTCTATCCTTAATCAATGCAAATTTGAGGCTATGCCTGCCTCTTCGTGTCTTTCCCAGGTCTCAGCACTGTCCCTTGCACATGGTACTCAAACAAATACTCACTGCCATTGAGTCGATCCTGACTCATTGCAACCCCTCCTTGAGTTTCTGAGGCGGTATCTCTACGGAAGTATATTGCCCAGTCTTCCTTCCTCTGAGTGGCTGGTGGAAGTTGTGGTGAATGTTTGAGTGTGCCCGAGATTTGCTCTGGGAGCTAGGGGAGATTTAGCTGTTTAGTTCAGAACCAAACTCACTGCCATTGAGTCAATTCTGACCATAGCGACGCCCTTTGGGTTTCCGAGACGGTAAATCTTTACGGAAATAAATTGTCCAGTCTTCCTTCTCCAGAGTAGCTGGTGGGTTTGAACCACCAACCTTCTGGTCAGCAGTCAAATGTCTTAGGCACTATGCCACCAGAGCTTCTTAGGGGCTCATAGGGCACAGAATCAACCTGCCCAGCTCTTTCAGACCAGGATTATTCTTTATGCTCACAACGGCATTAGAAAGTAGTGCTTGGGCTTTATAATCAGGTTAGGACTCTGATTCTGGCTCTGTCATGACTAGCTGTGAGATTCTAGGCATGT